TTTGGACTTCAAATATTCCAACCTCCTACTTGTGAAGTTAAAATTTACATCGATGGCTTTAGAATGTTTGATCAAATGTCATTGATCATACTACTCTTGTTACTGATTCATGTAGTTATAAACTGTTTACAGCAGGACCAAGAAAATTCTCACCGATTTTGGAGTGAAAAACAGATCCATTTTTAAGCATACAAGCCAAAATTGGATTCTTACCATCTTTATTTTGCATTTAAATGTCAAACCCGACACATTCTAGACACATCAATGTGAATTGTCTTTATATTTATTGAAATTAAATTTTCTTTTTGTTGTATTTCGTTTACAATTTAAGGTAAATATCAATTTTATAATATGTACAAAAAAATCATATCAATGTAGAAGTTGTAAGTTATAATTTTGACATACGAGCATATATTGTTAAGAAAGAAAATGAGTGATTTTCCATTCTAGTGCTTCAACCTAGTTTTAGTCCATAAGATGAGAGCGCACCTGTCGTGTTTCCATTCCCGCTAAACCCTTGCCAACCAATTGTCCACCCACCACACTGGTAGCCCAGATTATCGGCATGACTTCCAGCAACCAAAACCTTAGATGCCTTCTTGGGCAGGGGTAGCATTGGTTCATCTGCCCTTTTCCCATTCTTCAGCAGCACAAGCGATTTCCTAACCGCCTCCCTTGCTATGTCCCTATGTGCCTATATATCTCAAAACAGAAAGTAAACAAACAAACAAATAAAAGATAAATTAGGGGATGACCAACAGAAACCATGTAACGTTGACAGTGAGGTTTTTTTACATGGAACGTGGAAAAAACTAGTTGGAATTGGATAAATGACTGACCTGGCTTCCAACCTCGTTAACTAGACTGAAATCAGCAAGAGGGTTCTCAAACAGGCCCAAAGTAAATTTGACTCGTAAAATTCTGCTCACGGCATCATCAATACGATCCATTGGGATAAATTTGTGCTTGACCAAATATGTAAGATCATTAATGAACTCTGTGTAATTATTTGGGACCATAACCTGTTGAAGAATTAATTTTGAATATCAAATTTCTTTATTATGAAGAATCTTAACCGTTCATCTTTCAACAGACAACCAGTTTCTTTCAACAAAAAGATACATATATAAACACATGTGTAAGCATGCAGATAGAGAGAGAGTTGCTAACCATGTCGATGCCAGCTAAAATACTAGCCTGGACAGAGTAAGTGTAGTTGGAATGAGGAGGGGAAGTAATTCGGTCGATTCCCTCCCAATCTGATATAACAAAACCCTGAAAATATTTGACAATCAGCAAATAGAAAAGCATAAAAACTACTCACTCTGTCCGATAAAAGAGTTCACTTGTGATTTTTCTTCTAAAAAAGTCCCCTTTCCAAATGCAACATTACCACAGATCTTATGCTATGAATCACCCTCGTCTTTTTAGCGATTGCATAAGATGTCTTTCTCAACCTATTTATTCTATGAATGATTGTTGAAAGTTTTATCTTTTGAACTCCTAGCAACGGATGGTAACTGTGAATAACGCCAATCTCAAAACTTGAAACTTCAGTAAGAAAACAAGTAAAAGAAAAGTAAAAAACCAAACCATATCAAACGAATCCAGGATATCCCACACAGAGGTAGTATCTGTGTGTGGGTGGCGTGAGGTGGGGGGATGTATGCAGACCTTGAGGCTGTTTCTATGAAGACCCCGGGCTTGCAAAACAAAAGAAAAAAACAAGGAGGCATGCATCCTTGAAGTGTGACCACATAAAATATACCTTGAATTTAAGCTTGTCCTTAAGGTATCCAGTAATAAGATCACCGTTGGCATGCATTCTTTCACCGTTCCAGCTGGAATAAGACACCATGACTGTTGATACACCCTTGATGATGGAGTCATAATACGGGGGCATGTGGATACTAAGCAAGTCATGTTGGTTGATCACGGTGTTATTTTCGTCAATTCCACGAGTTGTCCCACCATCACCAACAAAGTGCTTTGCACAAGCAGCAACCTTGTCCCTAAGACACAGAAAGAAGAACAAGTCTGAATAAGGATAATCCAGCAGTCTTTAGCAGCTGTAGATTATAACTCCACAGTCCAAGAAAGGGAAACCAATAAACATGTGCAAAGTTCTATAATAGAACCAACACCATAATTATAACTTTTATATCTTCTTCAAAATAGAAGAAAAATTATTGGTTAGATCTGATAATCAAAAGCTGCTCAAGACCAGTTATATAATGTGGATCTAGGGCTGTCTGATATCAACCAATGGCTCAAATTGTTAGTTCCGAGCTATGGTTATGCATGCACACCCATGCACAACTCCCCTTTTTTCCATGAAATCTGCAAGACTGCAACATTTGACTTGACATATAGTTAAGGACACTGTTTGTCTATTCCTCAAATATTTGAAATATCTTAATAAAAACAAATGGAAGAATGTGGTGGATGCAAATCAATATGGTAAATTGATTTGTAATCATGATAATGGGCAAATGGACCATATTAACATAAAAAGTTTCCAGGGAAATGTCGTGACATCCTAATAAGGGAAGTGTTGCAATTTTCATGGCATGGAGTATACGGTTTGACTGCCAATGATGGAGAGAACTTGCCAAGATAACTATTCTTAGGATCTAAGGATTCCCCAATGCGGCCGCCTCTTGATTTAAGCATTTCCCACTGCTCTGATTAGTTAGGGATGCTTACCAGCCACCTAGAAGTTATACATTGCCACCACTTTGATTAGCAACTAGCCATTGAATTATGCATTTCAAAAAACGGAATATGGATTAATCGACTTTTCTCAACTTGTTCATCGATTGACTTTTCTCAACTTGTTCACCGATTGACTTTTCTCAACTTTCAAAGTTTTTCTGAGCAATGGTGTCTGAAAAACGGAGGTCATCTAGAAAAGTAATTGTATTAAAATAACATAATCAAAAATTTAATTCTTGCGTGTTTAAATAAATATAAAAGACAATTATATCTTTTACCTATTAAATGAACCAGTTATGCTTCTACTTGAGTGTCCAGTTAATCCCCACATACATGATTAAATGCTAGAAGGTTATTCAACCACCTAAGAATACTTAATACTCTGAGGTATTTAGTATGTATTGAGCACACATGAAGAGGTTTAGACATACACAAGTACATATCGTTTATATACATCAAGCATAGGGGCAAAGATATTAGAGGAAAAGATCCTATCAAGAATATATAGGTCTGATAGTGTGTTAGTGACGCCATAGGATCTATATTGGATGACTACAGATGTGATGCCTACTAATTGATCCAGTGTAGAACTAAGTTAAAAAATGTTGATTGCTGACATACAAGGGACAATATATATTAGAGATGCTCCAAAACTAAAGGTCCTAATAGAAAATGAAAATATCTTTTAGATGGTACATACTTTCCAGCAACATATGGAACACCCAGCCGTGATCCGTTTGGAATTTCACCTTGCAACCCTACTATCATGTCTGTCATATTTTGGACAAGTTTGGTATCCTCACTGTAACTCTCATAACATCGTCCCCATCTTGGATCTCTGCATACCTGTGAATAAATTTCAACAGTTGAGACCTCTGGAAATGATACATTATCTGGCCGTTTATTAATGGCAAAAGGATATTTATATGTATGCACAGGTTTATATAATAAGCCATTGGCAACAGTAGGTACAATTGGCATCTGCACATGCTTGCATCTCTTTTCACTTACAGCAATACAAGGAGCAAATGCATATGGAATTCCAGTGGCTCTAACTTCAACAGCAGTGGCAGCACCGATTCTCTTCACAAGATCAGTGTCCCTACATTGCATTGACGAATATAACAAGTTTAATGTCTCAGACATAATATGTTGCATATTTGCACATATTTTTTACTTAATCAATGGCGCAATTAGAAACATATAAATCATTTAGAGTAATAGCAAAGTATTAAACACTTTGACTTGCCTGGTAGCTCCAAGGCCAATGTTGTGGGGAAATATGGTAGCATTGATAACATTGTTGTGCCCATGAACGGCATCAATTCCATAAATCATTGGGATCCCTAAACGGGTAGAAAGTGACCCATTTTGGAACTCATTTACCATATTAATCCAATCGACGACAGTTGCATGGGGATTTGGAACACTCCCTCCACCACTTAGTAAGCTTCCTGCATTTATGAAGAACAAAAGATCAACCCCTCAAAATAGAAAATTATATTAACCCCCATGTTTGAAATATAGATAGCAAAACAAAAGTTTAGGACCTGAGAAGGAGTAATAAAAGCAATAAATGTAAGTTTTAGGAAATGGCAAGGGTTGTGTCTTGTGTACCATACAGCATAATGCTAAATGCAGTGGCCACCGATCAGAAATATACATCCAATAGATGCTTCACATATCATTATCATTGTATCTTCCAACCATTGACATTTCAGAAATTAAAATTCGTGCCATCCCATAGCTGGAGAAAAGCCAGTCAAGCCGTTCTTTGCGACAGCTGCTGTGTGGCACACTTGTGGGGAAAACACATAAATAAGACCATTCTTACCAGGACCTCCATGCAGTTAAACTCACTCCAGTCAGATACAGAAATAAAATGACAATCAGCTCCTGATTTAAGCACTTAGGGATGAGCTTTGTAGCAACCAGTAAGAGCACACACATGAGTCAGTAAAACAGTCACATTCAAAAATGCAAGGGAAGACGACAACAAAAAGCCTTCCCTCCCAACCCTCACAAAAGCAACCTTGGTACCCAGGGTCAACCTTTCAAATTAATTACCTTATACAGGCATGTTGCAATTTGAAATGGTCTTTCATCGGTTTATAAGTGGTTTATTTTAGTCCAGGCAATGTTTTCATTATAGATTATAATATCCGATTATCCGGATGAATGTATAATAAAATATTGTTCCAGGCCATACTTCAGTTGACTTAACTTATCATTGATTCAATAACAAGTAAGAACTTTGTGCAAGTGTTTTGCAGATAAGAAACAACACAAGAGGAAAGAAGAACAATAACTTCTTTTGTCAAACCTGCCAATTTCATTGGTTTAGAGATGGGTTTTATTTGCTTGCTTAACTTTTGTTTTATTTCATGTCTTCACTCTACCTATTATCAAAGCAATTAGTCTTCTTATTAGGAAATCTTTTCTAAGACTAAGATCTATTATTAACTTGTCCTATTGAGTATCATTAGAGGGCAAAAGAAAGAAAAAGGAAATGATGATCTTGTGCATACGAGAGCGTCGTTTGTTTAATAATTAAAATGGCAATGTGAATAATGTATTGTACCCATATAATGCTAATAATGTGTGAAAAGATTTATTTACCAATGAAGTAGTGCCTCATGATATCAGGAGTAGCTGAAATCCTTTCTATCTGAACCATCTGACCAATTTTCTCTTCCATCGTCATTCTTCCTAAGAGATCCTTCACTCTAGCTGCAACAGGCTGTTTTGGATCTTTGTACTTGACATCATCTGCCACCGCAGCCACAGCCAACCACCATAATAATACCATCATCCCCAAGAATGAAATTGACATTGATCTAACCATATTCACTGCAACATCAAACACACATCAGGTTGTTAATTACCAACTGGTGTTAAAGTTTAAAGCACAAGATGAAAAGCTGAACAATTTGTCAAGTGTCAAAGCTCCGCCCGTATGTACATCAGTGCACAAGACAAATCAAGTGAGATATTCAAATAACTAATATAATGAGAGAGCAAGTACAAGCACCAGTTATGAACCCGAGATCGAGCTCTTAAGATACCAACTCATCTATAAATGTGAACCGGTGGATGGGAAAACCAATAATTAGGTATAACTAAATCACTTTTCCACACATTTTATACATGTTAGAATAACAAAATGGGGGAACAAGAACAAGTGGGGAGGCTTAAACCCAAAACCATACTCTTAAACATGGAAAGTTTCCAACTCATCTAAAAGGTTGAACCAAATAGAGGACCCCACAGTGAAAATGAACTTCAAGAGAAATGAATTTTCTTCCTTTGAGAATGCATTTGTAAACAGAGAAAATACATTATCGAGCTTGAACCCACAACCACCACTCAGTTTGATACGGTTCAAATGCCGCTGGTCACAAATGATATATCTTTGAGTGTTGATATTGATTCAAACCATTTCCGATTGTCTCACCACCTAAACAACCAACCAGAATATCAAAATGTCATTTCAAAACAAAAAATAAACATTATTCAAACAATGCTCTGCCATTACAAGATTCCTAAATGAGCATTAGCAGTCATCTTTGTCTCTCTATCTATCTATCTCGAATATCGCAACAACGTATCAATCCGGAACATGAATTTGCAGATGCCGCAATAACTAAACCCTAGAACGAGTTTAATCGGCATGAACATCAATTTACAAAGTGCAACACCAACAAAATCAAAAGTTCAAATGCATGAATCACTAAGCTGTTATACTCTATGAATCAAAGAAGATCGGAATGAAGAAGAAGATCGAGAAATATAGAGAAGAGATACCCATAGATAGAGAGTATCGAGAGAGTAGTTGCCACTGGAAAGCTAGCTCCTCAGGAGTTACTGCAGCTGTACAGCATATAAGACTACAGAGACCACTGATATGCGGTTTTTGTAGAAATAGGACGACGGTTTTTGTACTTTATTTACAATCCACACCCCTCTACTTTTAAACTATTCACTTTAAGATCAACTTTTTGAGTTTCTTCACTCCATGCCCTCTTATCAAAATTACTTTTAACTTTTTCCTACTTATATCAACAAATAAATAGGCTAAAGTTGGAGTGGTTGGTTTTACAATTTCTCCATTAGGGGTGATTTTTATCTATATAGATATTTATTTAAGGGTAAATTACATTTATGGTATTTGTGGTTTATTGGTTTTCCTTACTATAGTTCCTCAAATGCATTTATTACACTATACATCCCTATAGTATGTAAAAATGTACACTTTAAGTTCCTTCCTCTAACGAATTATGTTAATCCAGTTAACTTAAGGGACATTCTCGTCCTTTATCCACTTTTTTTTTGTCTTTTCCTGTTTTGTTTTATTATGTTAGATTATTATTAATATATTTTATATATCATATATATATATATATATATATATATATACTTGGGATCATATGAGACCAATGGTTTTTCGTGAGACCCATAAGACCAATTCTCAACCATTGAGATTAGATCTACAATTTGAAAATCTAAACATTAATAAACGCCACGAGACTTCTCAATAATTACAAAATTGTCATCGTGCAATTTAGACCATTAGATCATTAACTTATAAAGTTGATCAATGAATATAAATTGGTCTTATGGATCTCACGAAAAACTTTTGGTGTAACGTGAATCCAACCCTATATATATATATATATATATATATATATATATATATATTTACATAATGCATACTTCACCACCATCGACTAACCTATCACAACAGTCGGTGACCTCTCCAACCCACCTCCTCACTCTCACCTTCCCTCTCCCATGTATGACCCACCTGCAACTTTCTCTCTTCTCTCTCTCTCATCCACTAGACCTGCAACTTTCTCTCTTCCCTCTCTCTCTCATCCACTAAACCTGCAACTTTCTCTCTTTTCTTTTTGTCTTTCTTTCTCTCCCACTCTCTCACCCCTCTTCCCACAACATAAAACAGCTAGCCACCCTCACCCTTACTGTTATAACCCCAACTCCACCTACCATAATCATAATCAACCCATATCACAAAGTGCGTACATTAATTCACATACATGAACACACACAAGTTAAAACACATATCATACACACAAACACACAATTCTTACTCCATGAGAACGTTATATAAGTTTCACATACACACAATTTGGAAATTTTCAAATACAAAAAATTATATAATTTCACTTACATACAGTGGCGAATAGTGAGTTTGACAGTAGTGGTTTCACAAATGGTGGTTTTTTTGGTTAATCGAGTTGTGTCACGTGTGTTTGTTTTGTTTTGTAATCTCACTATGAACACATAGAAGGAAAAAAAGGGAGAGAGTGGAAAATAATGGAGGTAGTGGTGGTGTGGTAAAATATATTCCAATAAGAAATATGAAAAAAAAATAAAGATATAATCTTCATAAAACGTTAAATTATTTAACGTATAAAAATTAAACCTTTTAGAATTTAGAATCACCAACCCTTCAACATCGAGTCAAAAACACCCAGATTGAATCCATCTTTTGCGATAGATTCAAGGAAAGAAATGAGTAGAAGCAGAGTTGTTCACTTAGTAAACAGAAAATTAAATACAATGCGAAAATATAAAACCAACTTGTTTAATTTTATGTCGATTTAGATGATAAACTGCACAGTAAAACCTGTCATTTAATGTTTTATACGACCACTCTTAACACGCTATGAGTCTGCTAATCGCAAAGCCCCAGGATTTGATGCAGTAGGCGATTCGTTTATGAACATCGATCAAAAACGAATATAGAGCAGGATTTATGTAGAAAATAGTAGAGAGAAAGTAGAACTCGGGAGCAGAAATCGATGGAGAGGAAATTAAAATTTTCCGTGTGTTGTGATACGACTTCAACCCAGTATAAATACTGGGTGAAACCCTAAATGAACCCACGATTTTCTCCTAAAATCAGAGATAATGGTGAGAAAAAATTCTCAGCTGACCATTATCTCTAAGGCCAAGTCAAATTCGGATTAATTTCAAATTAAAACTAATAATTATCCAAATTAAAACTGATAATTATCCTTCTCCTCACGAATTTTTCATCAAAAAGATACATCGAAGCGCGAAGTGCAAAGTGCGCCTCCTCGCGCCACCTTCGCGAATCCCGCACCCGCGCCCTCGGCCACGGCCACGCGCGCGCGTGTGTGTTGGGCCTTCCACTCAAGACCCCCACCATGAGTCCACCAACTTGTTCAAAGCCCATTTCTAGAGAAAGCCTTATAAGCTTCTCTAGAAAATAATTCTCTACCAATGTGGGATGGAAGCTAAACTTCCAATCTACAAATTGACCAACAATCCCCCACCAGGTTGGAAAGTTTTCTGACATCCATTGTAGATAATGTTACAGTAGTGTTACTAAGATTAAACCCTGTTTAATGTAAGTATGCAAGAAGGGATCAATCCAATGGTATCCTTAGAATTAAAACCTTGAATCTTGCGACCACTCCGGCTTACTTACACACATCATCTATCAACCTTGCTCTCTCACTGAGCGCTAATATGGCCATGCACTAATCCCTATTTCATGACTTACTAAAAGAGAAACCATTGCTCTTCTTTTGAGGCGGCACCACCTCTAAGTCATAGGCAAAGTTCTATAACATCTTCGTTGTTAAGATGCCTCTAAACTTTGTTAAGAGCTTAACTCATCCTTGTTCTCGACAACCTCGTACTATCTTTCACCTTACATGGACCTATCATTTGATAGTACCTTCTATCTGCCAAGTGACTTGTTGTTACCCTTTAAACTTGGTAGATAGGAGCACTATATCCAAGTTGGGTTTCCATCACTGACTGATTCTATGTGGCTTCAGACCCATGTCTCTGGTGGTTGACCCTACCAAGTCTCTCGTCAGAGGCTTGATTAGTCGATCTGCCAAGTTCCCACAAGACTTGACAAACACAATACTTATGGTACCATCATCAATAAGTTGTCTCAGGTAGTTGTGTCGGAGACCTATGTGTCACGACTTTCCATTATATACAGCATTGTATACTTTTGACAGTGTGGCCTCACTGTCACAATACATGGGAATAGAGGGAGTCGGTCGAGGCCATAAATGGATATCTGTCAACAAATCTCTAATCCATTCGGCCTCTTTGCCCGTTGCCGCTACCCACTTTTGGATTTAGAATCACTTGAGTGATCTATCCAACTGGCGTCGGAATATCCCTCCAAGATTCCTGGATGCGTAGAGTATGTCAACTCTAGTTCTTGGGTTCTTTTCAAGTAACCCAATACTCTGACAATTGCTTTCCAGTTATCTGAACCCGGATTGTTGGTATATTGACTCAGTCTACTCACAGCAAAAGCAATATCCAGTCTAGTGCAATGCATTGCATACATCATGCATCCTATTGTACTAGCATATTCTAGTTGAGCCACTGCTCTACCAGTATTTTTATCGTGTTTCACACTTGAATCAAACGGAGTGTTAAACTCTTTTATATTCAAATGGTGAAACTGTGTCAGTATCTTCTCTATGTAATGAGATTGACATAGAGAGATTTGAGATGCTGACCTTTTGATATTTATCCCAAGGATGGTATCTACTTCTCCAAGATCTTTCATCTTAAAGTTCGAGGATAATTACTCTTCTGTCTCAAGAATACCATCTAGATTGGTTCTGATGATCAACATATCATCGACATAAAGACAGATTACCACAGAGTACCCTCTCATGCATTTTGAGTAGATGCACCGGTCGGGCCCATTATGTCGGAACCCGAAAGATGTGACAGTCGCATCAAACCTTTCGTGCCACTATTTAGGAGCTTGTTTTAACCCGTATAGAGATTTAACAAGCTTACACACTTTATTCTCTTGTCCGGGTACTACAAATCCTTCAGGTTGCTCCATGTAAACCTCCTCGTTTAAATAGTCATTCAAGAAAGTTGTTTTCACATCCATTTGGTGTATATACAGTCCTTTTATGGCTGAAATTGCTATGAGTGTTCGAATGGAACTAATTCTAGCAATTGGAGCATATGTGTCGAAATAATCGACACCTTCTGTCTGTCTATATCCTTTTGCCACCAATTTAGCCTTGCAGGATGATATTGGACCATCAGGGTGCATCTTTCTTTTAAATATCCACTTGGAACCGATGGGTTTTACCCCAGTTGGCAAATTTGCCAGCACCCAAGTTCCATTACCCAAGATGGAGTCTGTCTCATCATTTATGGCTTCTTTCCACATTGGAGCATCCCTTGAAGTTATGGCCTCTTTAAATGTCTTAGGATCCTCTTCAGTACTGATAGAGAAAATGAACTCTCTTGTCACTTTCTTTTGTGTCTCTTCTACCAAGTACAAAAAAAGTCATTTCCCAAAATTTTCTCTTTTCTCACTCTTATGCTTCTTCGTGGTTCGTCCGCCCCTATAGAGGTTTTGGAACTAGCACGAGATGAACAAGAGGGATTAGAGGCCAATGTTGGTTCTGATTTTTCAGCATCTTCTGAAAATCTATCTTTAAAGAACTCCACATCTCTGGATTCTACTATAACTCCTGACTCTTTGTTCAATAATCTATAAGTCTTGCTATTTACTGCATATCCAACGAATATGCTCATAATAGCATGGGCTCCCAATTTAGATCTTTTTGGATCAGAAGTTCTATAGTATGCAACACATCCCCAAACTCTTAGATAGTTCAGATTTGGTTTTCTACCTTTCTAGAGCTCATATGGACTGGTTGGAATCACACGACTAGTGATTCGATTATGATTATGACAAGCCGTCAACAGGGCTTCTCCCCAGAGATTGTTAGGCAACCCTGATTGGTTCAACATACAGTTGGCCATTTCAACAAGGGTTCGGTTCTTTCGTTCCGCCAAGCCATTTTGTTGAGGAGTAAATGGTGAGG